AGCCGGGAGCGCGGGGCAGGGCGGCCGCCGCCGGCGCCCGCGGGCCGGCGGCGCAGCAGTGGCGCGGGTGGCCCGCAGCGTGACTCGTTGGTCAGCTTTTTCTCCCTGCATCGCGTACGCTGGTTTTGTTCCCATTGCAAGGCCTCATCTGCTACTTGTTTGCATCGACTTCCTCTCCTATAATACGGCTCTGATAGAGAACACACAACAGTTGTCAACCTCCCCCCCCCCTCAACACATTGACCACGCCCGTGTCTCCACACGCATATTAGTACGCTTACAATGAAAGGGTAATGTGCACCCCAGTTGCGCAGGCCTTGAGCCTGAAGATGACCCGTGCCTGGCCTGCCACGCTGCCCGTGCGCCGCTGCCGGCTGTTTGTCCGCCACGGCGGAGAGGTTGCAAGGACCATGCCAGCAGGCTGGCGCGAACCCATTGGTCAAAGGGGAGACGTGGTCAGGCATTACACGCCACAGCCCACACCATCGGGGCAGCAGAGAGGAGTGCAAATACCACAACGAAAGCCAAACACAAGCTGCCACCCAGCCGAGGGCGGCCTGCAGGCGGCTATGCGCGAGCAGGGCGCCCCGCTCGTGGGCGGCGCGGCGATCAGGGCATAGGTTTTTGACAACCCGCGGTCAAGGCACGCACCAAAATGTCGTCGAAAGGTCCCGCCGTGCTGAGGGGCCCCGGCTGGGTGCTGCCCGGCGGGACCGCCCCTGAAAGGCGGAGTGCACGCACAGGGCGCCCATGGCGGGCCCCTGTAGCGAACGACCCCTTCCCGCGCACGCCCGCGAGCGCGCGGCCAACCAACGAAAGGGTCAAAGACAAAGGGGAACAATGGTAATGCCGCCGCATGCGGCGGGCAGGGGGTGGGGGTGCCTTTGGCTTGCCGCAACGCGAGGGGCCGAGCCCAACCGCAGCGCGGCCTGTCAGCAGGCAGCGCCGGCGCGAGCGCCCGCCCACCCGTCGGCCCTGGCAAAGCCCGGGCAGCCGCGGCTGCCGGCGGCGCCGCGCTCACGCGTGCGCGGCGACGGGCTCCGCGCTGGCGCCCGCGGGCTGCTGCCCGAGGCGCGTGATGAGGTGGCGGTCCCCGTAGACGTTGTCGACGCGGCTGGTGGTGGGCCAGAACTTGGCGCCCTTGACCCAGGGGGCGGGGAAGGCGGCCTGCTCGCGGCTGTAGGGGCGGCTCCAGCTCTCGGCCAGCACGACCTGCGGGGGGCCGGCACAGTTTGTGGGTGTGGGTGTTGGATGGAAGGGAGAGTGTGACTGTAGTGTCAGGTTGAGAGCAGGGTTTTTGGTCAAAGTAGAGAGCCCCCACGATCCACACAACCCACACATGGATGTGACGGATCTCCCCCGACAGCAGCCCCCCCCCCACACACACATCAACACACACAGGTGCGCGTCTGGTCCCCTGGGCGCACCTGTGCCGTGTGTGGCGCGTGCACCAGCACGTTGTTGTCCCTGGGGGCCTTGCCGGCCTCCACCTCTGCAATCTCGTGGCGGATGCTGACCATGGCATCAATGAAGCGGTCCAGCTCAGCCTTGGGCTCAGACTCTGTGGTTTCAGTATGGGAGTGTGTGCGTGAGGGTGAGTGAGTGAGTGTGTGCGTATGTGTGTGTGTATGTGAGTGATACGCGCTCGTTTGTGGTGAGTGTGTTTTCAGGCAGGCCTACAAGGCTTGGGCGGCACGGAAGGTCACGCAAAAGGCAGTCAAGCTGCGCGTCCCTCCCCCAGAGTCCGCCGATGCGACTCCCTGCCGCCAACAAGCAGCGCCCCTGTTGCCGCCTGCGCGCGCAGCTCACAAGGACATCGAGGCGCACAAGCGCACGCACGAGCGCCACCGCGGACCACCCCTGGCCGCCCAGCGCGCACCCCCCATCCCGCCCCGCCCGCACCCGTGGGCTCGATCATGAGCGTCCCCGGCACGGGCCAGCTCATGGTGGGCGCGTGGAAGCCGTAGTCCATGAGGCGCTTGGCGATGTCCTCGGCCTCCACGCCCGCGGTGTCCTTGAAGGGCCGCACGTCCAGGATGAACTCGTGGGCGCAGGTGCCGGCGCGGCCGGTGAAGAGCACCTTGTAGTAGGGGGACAGGCGCTTGGCCATGTAGTTTGCCTGGAGGTTGGG